AAGGAGCCTGTTTTCTAGGAGCTTAACAGAAGAAGTATAAAGAAGAAGACCTCTGGAGGACTTTTTCTGACTATACGCCTGACTTAGAAATCATCTTGGCAACAAGTTCTAACTCGAGTTCAAACATAAGCCACGCTGGGTAACCTCTGAGGAGCTCCCTCGGATTTATCAGCATAGCCTTGCATATCTCAATGGCTTTTTCTAGTAGTGTTGACTTTACTGGGTGGGAATGAACCTGCAAGGGCTATAATCTGGCACACGAGGATCTTCTAAGGATAGCACTAACACAGCTGCGAGGATCAAGGCAGGCAGCTGCTAAAAAAGAAAAAAGCTACAAATAGCCAAATACATTGCCCTAAAGGACTAGCAGATAGATGAAGCTCTAAAAGTTATAGATGATTTTACTATAATTGTTGTTTGCATACAGATTTCTTTTCTGCTGGACAGGCACTCAGTGAGATCCAAGTACTCTATAAGAAGAATCTGCATATAAGCAAATGACTCTTTTCTCTAGAGGATTTAACTTCTGACGTCCCCAGAGGTCAAGCAGCAAGCTGGTAGCCTGGAAAATAAGAGTAAAGCCAACTGGGTCCCAGCTGTCTCAATGGTCCAAGATTCAATTAACTGTTAGACACGTCAAGAGACTCCAACCAATCCAAGCTGTCATTCTGCATGTGCTGACAAGCGTGCATACAAGATGTAGCCACAAAGGCATCTTTTATGTCCATAAACATAGGAGTTCAGCAGTGCAACTGTACCCTGTTTAATGAATACAAAGCTTCCAGTTCAATATATACAGTGAAATGGCAAAAACAAGTCATAAATACCTTTACAAGTCTGTTCAGCTGCAGCATTAAAGTATCAAGCTCTTATCTCAGCTGTTTGTAATGGGATAACAGCAATAATGTCCATTTCTTCTTCAAATGTGAGTTCCAAAGCATAGCTTTGTTTTGTTTCTTTTAAACAAAAGAAGTATCATTGAATCCCTTCTATATACTGAGGATACTACATCAAAGAAGTAAACTGATGTACTTAGAAAAGCCATACAAAGGAGAACTATTCCATCAGGCCCTGGTACAGGGTTCCAGTCTCCTGCTCCACTCAGAAGTGATGCCAACAGTAAATCTATATAAATAGATGATTAAAGACCTGTCTTTGGGTGGGACCTCTCCTATCTAGGGAAAGCTTACCATAAAAATAATACACAATGAAGCCAAGGACACATTGATAATTTGTGGCACCCACTCATCTTGATTATTCTCCCTACAGCTACCAGGCTACAGTCACACCAGTTCTTGCCTTGCCTCCATCATTTCTGTCTGCTACTTCTTGGCAAGGCTCAGGAGGAGTGAAACCTTTTATGCTCTCTTATGGGATGCCTGCTGTGCAGCAGGGATCCAGTTCAAACGCTCTAAAAAAATGAACCCAATAGATGTGAAAACTGTTGATGCGAGGCTCCTTTAGTGGCCACTCTTAGGTCAGGCTGTGACAGCTGCTGATCAGTGGCTATTGAGGAAAGCAATTCTGGGTGTGCTATCAGCAGCGCTCAGAGTCCTGCAGCTGCAGATTCATCCTTCCTCCCCCTCTTTTATCCTTTGCTCCCTGCCCAGCTATGAAGCTGTTGTGTACCTAAGACAGCCCAGCAGCTGAGCTTCTGGGGGTGAATGCTATGGAACAGTTTACATGCCTCGTGTCATAAGCCCAGTAAATACCTAGTAAAACATGGTATTTAATGGAAGCATATCAGCTCATGTTAAAGCTTCTTTACCTTGTGCTGAGCAAACTGTCGCTATGCTGCCTTTTTAATCAGTTACCACCAAATGTGTGTATGTGTGAGAAGGGTTTTAAACATTCCTCTGTCCATTTACTTCCACACAACAAACTGACAAGCTTACAATCCTCTTATTATGGCTTTGAAACACAGCACATTCACTGTTATCTACAGCATGCTATCACAGGATATTCTGTGGAGCCAGGCTTATAGAACATATCCCTAATGTTTCTTGTAAACCAGGTACATATCAGTTAGGCACACCACCAGGTACATATGAACCTCTGAAAGAATGTATAACAGGATGTTCAGGAAGTTACACCCAATGCAATATTCTCATAGTGCAAAGCTCAAGAGGCACTCCAGCAAATATCACCGATATAATGCTAATTGATGCCTGAGACATTCATGTAACCACATTAGCTCTTTTTATTTTAGAAGAGAACAGAAATTCAGTGCTCCACAGAATGTTGTTATCCCACCACAGAGATCCCAAGACATAAACGCTCTGCACAGACTGATGGAAGGTCCTTCACTCACAGATTTCATTTAAAGTGAATTCTGCTCTTTGTTTTTATAGAACAAACCAGATGTAATCCCCTAAATGCTGAATCTTTGAGGTACAATTCTGACAACATCAGAATTCAAATAATGCTGTTGCATTAAACGCCTGTCTCCCATTTTCTTGTATGTAAGCTGTTCATCCATTTATTTCAAGAATTACTGTAACTTCAGCCATGCAAGTCTGAACAAAATGCATAATCTTATCCATAATCTTATCCATAATCTTATGTTTCTATAATAGAAACATATCTAATACAGACTCACGTAGAGGTTGTAATGTAGCTCCTAACCCCCAAGAACACAAAAAAAATTAAAAAAAAAACATACACTTTTACAATGTCATGAAAGGGGGGTGGTACTTTGATCTTATTTGCCTTGAATGCTGTAAAGGAAAGGCTGACAGGTAGAATTACACGCCACCAGTGCAAACAGAAGACTATTCACAGTTTATTCAGCTTTCTCACCTGTCAGATGGGTTTATTTCTACCAGGCAACTCTAGAAAAATGTTAGGCTAGATGAATATTTTTGTAGATTCTCACTGATCCAGTGTAGCTCACTTCTGAATATGGGGTATGGTCTCTGTAGTCTCTGTTCAAGACAGTGAGTTGCATAAATTCTGTGAGTTGCCTAATGTGGAAGTTGAATCACAGCCTGTAATTTTGAGGAAATTTGAGCAATTCCAGCCATCCTGATCCAGGTTCTATGAAAAACAACAACAAAACAAAAACTGACAAAAAAAAAAAAAAAAGAAAACAACAAACCAACAAGCAAAAAAACAAACAAACAAACAAAAAAACCAAACCAAAACAAAAAAACCCAACATCAAAACAACTACAATAGCAAAAAAACAAAAACAACAACAACCTCACAAACCAGTAACATCACTATGGGATGTTCATCATAAGAAATAATAATTTTTAAAAAGTCCTAAGAGATAAGTCTTTGAAGGCAGATTTCCTGAATACTTTCCCTACCAGTTCACAGTATTTGGGCTTGCTACATTTTCTTCATTTATTTGCTTGACTTGCTGTCTGCATGTAGTTAGATAGTTAACAGAAGCACGCCTGTCCTTGGAGGCCAATGTGAGTTGACTGGCTGTGCCTTTGGTTCAGGTTCATTAAAAAATCTGAGCATTAATTAATCACTGACTTGCAAATAGCTTGGAAGAGTTGTTCAGGCTAAATGGGAACGTTCTGCAATTGTTTTACTCTTGGTTACAGTCACTTCTGTGTGATGAAAACTTCTCCCTTGCCAGGATACAGCATGCATAAATCCAAGCACTCCTGTGCTAGAGCAGACAGGACCAGAGTCTGCATCAAGTAGCTCCTTTTCTTTCTTTAACTAGGAAACTGCACACTTGAGGAAGAGCTGTCATAAGTAGCCCTCCTGAATCCCATTGAAAAGGCAATAATAAAATCTACCAGGGCAAAATGACAGCAAAGCATATGACATGGGTAGACAGCCTTCTGGAATCCTTCTGGAAAAAGAAACTAAGCCAGGATGACCTGCAGGTCATCAAGAAAAACATACTCAAGGGAATCATGATCACATTTGTATAGGGACTCTTCCCACTCCTTGCTGCAAAAGCTATTCTTGATAAATAAGAGGATAAATAAGCAGTTGTCGGTACAAAGAGTGCTAAGTGAGGAGGAAAATAAGAAGTGAAAATGAGGCACATGTCTTGCAAGGCCAAAATACCAAAATAAGGAAATAAATATCTGAACCAACATGAAAATTTTGTCCTCAGTGGCAACATGCAGGCGTAATAATCAAAATGACCGGAAAAAAGGACTTTGTATTCCAAATGCTCAAGACTTCAAACTCACCTTAACATATTCGGTCTCCTCTCCCAGATTTTACCTTCCATTCCAAAAGCTAAATCAAAAAACAACCATGCAAATGATTCAGATTATTTTCCAAAAGCTACCAAGATAGAATGACAAAATGAAATAAGATATTCAGGCTTCAAGTATAGGCAATGGTTATTTGATTGAGGACCATTAAAAAAAAAGAAAGATAAAAACAGGTCACAAGACCACAATTCTATAAACTGTTGGATACAGTGAGATAGCCAGATGGATACGTGCCTTTTCAACAGTGAGACATCGCACCTACAAGTCCTCAAAAATGGGGACAACTTTGTCAGCTTTATCTGTAGAGCTCGCTTTCCATTTCTTTGTCAACCAGTATTAAAGATCTGGCCCTGAGGCAGCTGCAGAACCTAATGAACCCTTTAGAGCCTTTTGGCAGCAGTTCAAAGGCAGAGAAGTTATTTTAACTCAGTACCAAAGATGCACTTTCAACTTGCTATTAAAACAATAACACAAATGCAGGTATAATGAGAGAATAAGGAGAGAAATGAAGAAAGAAATAGAAGATTGTGGAAAGGAATGGATCAGAGGCTCTCCAGGACTTGTTTCCATAGTAAGTGTGTGAGACAATCTCCCACAAGAGGGAAATGGTTTGTTTGATCTAATGCGCCTTTCTCTTCTTGAATTTCCATAGTATGGAGAATCAATATGAGGGAAATTAAAGCATCAGGAGCAGACTCACATTTCCACTTGTGTGTCCCTATCTCAGCAAACTGTTATTGAGATAGAAGTATTTACCTTAAGTGCTCAGTTCACATGCTCTGCAAGAAGAGGCAAGATTTCAAAAGGATACATGCTTCTTCTGTGTAAGGGACAGCAGCAGTAGTTGCACCCACGATGTAGCTGTAGAATGAGACTTCCAGGGTGTAGCAGTAGGACGTATCATTTAACAGCCCACCAAGAAAACGCCGGCCCGTCCCTGCTTTCACAGCATCTCGGTTGAAGGATGTACTGGACTGCCAGGGAAAGAACACAGAGACATGAAGGGAGTTCATGAGTGGAACAAGGAAAGGGTTGGGAAGCAGACAGTTAAAATAGAAAACAGTGAAATTCACATTGCCAAATCTCAATTACGTTATTTGAGACTGTAATATTTTTCCAGTGGTGGCCTGGAGAGACTATTAATGGAAATACGATTCTGGCTCACAGAACTATAAATAAGGCCTTGCAAACTTTCACAAAATTAATCTCAGTTCACAAGTAAGATTACCTTTTCTTCTCCCCTTGTGGATAACACTTACAGAAAGCCTGTTGCATGTATGAGCTGAAAAAGAACACTTTAGATCCATCATTTCAAATGCTAAGCCATAAACACTATTTGGATATTGGGTTTCTTCTTTCTACTGCAATTCTCCTATACCTCAGCCATTCTCACCAGCCTGGAAGCTTTAAGCAAAGTAGAAATACATCAGTATTTACATCTTAGTGAAACTTTCTCACCTAGGACATTTGACTGCTTCTTAAATTAGGTCACAGAAATTTCCACTTCACTAACTTAAGTGTTAACTGGGTGTTGCTCTCCCAGTGGAAAAATATACTGCACTGTTTTACAGCACTAGTAGCACAGTGTTAAACACTGTATTTTGTGCTATTACCGAGGAACTGACTTTAAGAACCATGCAGCTTTATGACTATTCATTTGGGGGATGAAGGGGAGGATTCCAAGTATTTCCAAAAACAAGTTTTAGCTCTCTTTTGAAGGCACGGCAGTACAAAAGGGACATGGTTGAATGGGGAAATATTCATAGAAGGTGGACAGTTGGACTGGCTTTTTTGGAGGTCTTCTCCAACCTTGGTGATTCCATGATTCTATCTGGATACTAAAGTGGAGCTCACCATTAGGTTAATCAAAATCTCAGAGCATGTTCTACCAAAGACATAAAAATGGAATTTGATTTCATTCTGGTTACCAGACCCTAATAACCACTAGACTGTCACTTTGGGTTAAGCACAACCTAATGATTGCTGAGGGGAGAGAAAGCCAACAAAAAACCCTATGCTTCATAGATCCAACTTGCATTGGTTGCATAAGAAGCCTTTATATCTCCTGCTTTAAGACTTTTAAGTCGCCAGAGAAGAGAGAAGCAAAAAGGACCCTCAGCATATAGTTTACAGTTCAGTCATTGTTCCCATGGTGAATTATCTGAGCAACTGAGAGTTCTCTGACTGAGCCTTAAGACTTGTGTATTTTCTTATTAACATAATGTTAGCGTGTATCAAAACAAGGGAAAATAAGACTTTTTATCTTGTCTATAAAAAAAAATAACAAACAAGAGATGCAATCATTCAAAATGCTAAAATTCTATAGACCAACAGAAGCACACTAACACTGAAATGAGCAACAATTCTTGATGAATGGCGTATACCAAAAGATGTGAAGAATGGAAATACCTGTAGGCTTATTAGCATTCTGAATGTTTTGAAGTCTCTCATGTTATAAAAAGGAAGGCTTTCCAGGTTAATTAGAATAAGATGGAATTGGGTTTCTTATTAGCATTATATGTAGGACTTTCTAAATGTGATACTGCCTGAGTGGTAACACAATACTGCAGAAAAAGGTTACACTGAATTTATTCTGCTATATACGCATCCTATTTTTTTCCTTCAAATTGCCATTTGGAAGGAAATGCAATGGAAGAATCTTTCAGGATGGTCAGAATACTTGTGGGACAGAAAGCTAAGGCACTCTTAAGGACTGATGGGAAAATGAATTGTTAATTTGTTGTATGGAATAAAATACTTGGGGAAGTCTGGAAGAGGGAAAGTTTTCTGACCTCCTGCAATAGAAGCCTTCAAAAGACCAAGACCCTGAAACTGGAGGAAGCTGTATCTTGAGTTAAGATCAAAAACAGAAAGGAAGATGATCATACTCTGGAGATTTCCTCATAATGCAAGCACACTGATTTCGGTGGATAGAACTTCACGTTCAGATGAATGTCCATGGTGAAATATTTACTGTACTAAAGCATCAGCTGGTGAATTTGGGTGTGTGGAGCCAGCTCAAAATAAGAAGATAACGTGTCAGAACACAGTTACTGTGGTTTGTGAGCACGAGCATCACTCACAAGAAAAATGAGCTAAGTCTATTTCTCTGCTCAGCACAAGTAAAACAATGGAAATGTTGGAGAAGTGATTCAGGGCAGGCATTAGGACAAAAAACGCTCCTGTCATTTGGAAGTTGAGGTACTTACTGTCACTGAGTAGCATAAAGATAGTATATTTACAAACAAATTGGACAAATATCTGCCAAGAATAATTCATCTTTCTTTGGGATCCAGTTTGGACTTGAGGTCCTTTTCCAGCTGTAATTCCCATAATTTCAGTCAAACTAGAAAAAGGTTACTGGTTGAATTTCTCAGAGATGATTCTTGATATAAATCTTACATAATATTTTCATCACAGTTCTTGGCACAGTAAAGGAGGACCATGCCAACAAAATTTGCTGATGACACACTGTGGAATGAGTCATCATTATGGAGGAGGCTCCGAATATCATACAAAAAAGCAGTGGGATGACTTTAAGGACCAAAGTGATAGTAGTCAGATGAAACTCAGCTACACAAGTGCCAGGTCGTGTACTCAGAGTCTAATAAAAAACAATCTCTGCTATAAGCTGAAACCTCATCAGCTGGAAATAGATGAAGAGAGTCTGATGTATTACTTCACTGAAGTGATTTCTGCTTTCTGGCAGAAAATAGCTCAGAAGTTGGATCTAGTTATTGGCAAAATTATACTTGCCATATTTCAGAAGTGAATCGTAAGTGGTTTAAGTAATTTAAAGGAGGATTTTTAGATGGCCAAGAAGAGAAAACAAAATTTGAATCTTTCCATAGTTTGGATTTTTTATAATGCTATTTGGTGTTGTAATTTTCTCTTTTCTTTTTAAAGAAAAGTTCCAGTTTCACCTGTGCAGAATTATTTCAAATAGTGGCAATGGCATGAATTAAATCATCTGTTCATTTCCCTGCCAGGTAGTGCTGCAGTTCCCACAGGGGAAAAAAAAAGTCTCGAGTAGAAAGGAATATCTCTGATTTGACTGAAGTGGGTTGAGATAGTGAAATATAAAGTAACCCTTCCTAAAGTATGAACACATGCAGGTTTTGAAACAGTGGTTTGGGCTTGGCTATAGAACAATGTTACAAGCAAGAATGTGATTTGATGTGCTAGAAGAAAATAAGAAAATTCCAGATTCAAGACAATTCAAGTAATGGCAAGGTCAGGCAGCAGGTACTTGCTTGAGTTCAATCTGTTACTGTCTCAGCTCAAGACAAATGGAATGGAAAAATATGTAAGTACTGATTCCTGATCTTGGCAACTGATAATGCTGAAACAAAGAGGATAAAAATCCATGTATTATTATTGCAAGGAAATAGCCATTTGCCTGCACGTTTCTTTAATCAAACTTTACTCTGGGGAAGAAGGGACAACAAGACGGGGAAAGAATGTAGGTACCAATGTCAGAAAATGAGTCTATTGTTTCTCTTTGAGAGAATCTATTGCTGAAAACCCTTGGAAAGCTGAACTGAAGTCATCATTAAGCAAATGCACTGAGCAGACACAGCAGGAGAACAGCTAAACAAATATTTATTTCTCTGAGGCTGAATCGCATGGGAGTGTCAACAACAGCAGCAGCAAAAAGCACAAAATCAGAGGAGGCAGGGTTGGGGAAGAAAAACACCAAAGACTTTGAAGTTCTTAAACAGAGATATTTGTACAAAATCAACAGTAATTCATTATTAAAACACACAGATACATTAAAGCTCACAGAAGGACTCTGCCTCCTAGCTTGTGTGAGAAAATTCAGTACACAAATTAGCCATCTTCAGGGTTAGGAGATGCGCCAAGTAATTATAATTCGCTGCTGAAGGAGTGGAAGAGGAAGGGTGAAAGATTCCCTCACATTCTGGTGAGAAGAAATACACCAGAAAATGACACCTGGTTCTTACAAAATTGGGAACCTTGAGGTGTATCTAGCCACTCTCTGCATCTTAGGTATTTGTGACAGATTTCCCAGGCCTCCCTACCAGATCTCTAGACTACCTGGTCTAGTATTGAATGTGGAGGTTGGTGGCCCTGCATGTGGCAGGGGGCTTGGAGATTTATGATCCTTGAGGTCCATTCCAACCCTGGCCGTTCTGTGATTCTGTAATTTCATCCCTCTTCCCCATGCTCTGCTGAACCCTTTCTGTATGATTGATTTTCCCACTAGGAATGACAACGATCATCCAGGCAAACAAAGAAATTTGTAAACCAATCGGACAACTGTGGCAAAAAAGATGCATGGGATGGAAACACAGGAAAAATCTGCATGTGAATTCTTTACTGGAGGAGTCCCCATGGAAAAAACAAAACGAAACAAAACAAAACAAAACATTCTTAGCCTTTGGTCAGACTTCAGTGTGCTAGAATCCCTATCTCCTGGGCAGTCTTGTCTCTTGGCTGGTAAGGACACTCGACCACAGTGACCCTCAGTGAATTCAACAGCTTAGGCAGCTGCAATACGGCTGATGGATATCCTTGGTTTCTCAGTGCTGCTCTGCTGTCCTGCTAGCATCTGTAGAATCAATGCCCTGAGCAGTCCATATTCACATTGCAAAGGCAAGCAGTTTACTATTTCTGCATGTCCATATCAAAGTACAAGAGGGGCTCCAAAAGACAAAGAAGAAAAACAACAAAAGTCTGTATCTGAGACTGAATGTACCCAAGTCTGTCCTTTGACTTCCCGGTGTACACTGAGTGGTTCTGCTCAGTGACTATGTGGCTTCACAGGGCATTTGTCCTGCTATAGCATCAGAAAGCCTAGGGTTGCACAAGAGGGAAAATAGGATGCACATCCAGTAAATGTGGGCCCACTGATCTGTGGAAAAACAGATGCCAAAGAGGGCTGAAATACCATTCAGGCTCAGTGTCAAGCTGGAGATGGATGGCAGCATCAGTTCTACCTTTCATGGATGAC